AAGAAGAAAAGTTTACGCCGTCGTTTCTCAAGCTGCGCCGCGGCAATGATCCACTTTTATCCTCACACTGTGATACTTTTTCAAGCAAATGTCCGATGGATCGAGGGATCCGATGCGACGTAACACGCATAAATAATCTCGAAGACGTCTCGAGGAGAGTGTAAACGATCGACGTTCTAGGCGAGTTTCTTTCCAACGTGTCATAGATCCTTTTACATCTTACAGATTTAGCGCGCCCGTTAATAACCTCGTGATAGAGCATGATAGGGGTCGCCATGTTGCGAGGGTGAGTCGTGATAGGAGTGTGTGTGACACTTTCCTAATTGCCTCGCAACTTCCTACCCCTTCCCCTCTTTAAGAAAAGCAACCCTTATCCGCCTGTTTCTCGCGGGGTTAGTAGACTTTGGATCTGGAAACTTTCCAGCAACAACTGGACACAAACTTCATATTGTATTCCGGAGAAAATCATTTCGCGCACGCACACGCGGGTACGCAGGATGAGACTTCTCTCTCCACTTCTGAAAAACGTTTATAGCATAAGGGCGCGATGTACCGGTGATTCTTCGTGCACAGAAACGTAATCAAACGAAAAGAGAAGAGAGCTCAATTATTTTCCCGCACTTCAACGAGTACCTCCGACAGCATCGGCGGGGAGATAGAATCACGTTGGGTGTCCACCGGATTCATCCGCGGTAGTCGGTTAAAATGAGATATTGGAAATGGACTTGCTAAGCGACGCGTACACGAATAAGACCGCGTCGTTCTCAAGAACGTCGGGGATAACGTTTAAGTAAGAGTGCCAGCTGCGAGAGCGAGTAGCAAGGAGGCGTAATAATCTCGTACAAGCACGCACTAGGCTTCCATTAAGCCGCGTCGGCAGCATTCTAAGTACCGACGGGTAAAGTGCGCGCGCGGCCGGGTAGGTACCGAGATCCACGGTAGGACAATCAGTAGGTGGAAAAAATGTACGGAACAGCCAGAAAGGTAGCCGCATTCCTGGTAGCTGCGGAGGCACGTGGGAATCGCGAGATCGGAGCTCTCCTCTCTCGGTGCCCCCTTTTGCCGCGGACCCCGCGCAATGCTGCTCTCTCGCGTGTGGCTCGTCGTCTTTTTGGGGTATCTCCTCTGCGTAAAGTACGAGCATCCCGGTAAATAGGTAAAAGAGCCTCCCGGGATCGCGCGTCGGACCCGCGCGAGTTCTTTGTCTCTTTCTCGCCGGGGTAATACGAGGGGGATGTATACGGGGAGAGAGATGGCTCCCCGTTCTTGCTAACTCGCGACAAGCTGCTCCTGGATTCTTCGCGCGCACCTCCGGGGACGAAGCTCCCAACGAATTACACGCTTCTTAACCTTAACCATCCGGTAACTGGCCGCACGCAAAAATCGCCAGCCGTTGACGCGGGTTAAAATACACCGGCGGAGTCGCGATCGCGACAAGATTGTCTCTCTCATTGAGAGTCATCGACGTTTTTCTCTCGTTCCACCGGTCACCGTCGTGCCTTCTTTTTGTCATTACCCGAATTTTCTGGATTCTTCGAATTCCGCAGCGAAACGAACGAACAGCTGGCCGAGAAGCTCCCTACCCGGTCTCCCACAGCCGACGGATTTTTCCAATTTTGCGAGACCATTTGTTTATCACCAGCCGGACAAATAACTTCCTCCTCGTAAACCGCCGCGACGCGCCTTTAGAAACGCAGTTTTCATTTCTCTTTCTTTCTCTCCAACTGCGACCGGTGAACCTGTAGAAGGCGCACCAAGACGTTCGTCTCTCCGAGTAACTTCTCTCGCTGGGGGAGGAGAGGACGAGAGCGAGTACACGACTGCGACGACGAGAAGAAGGAGGACGCGGAGACGGGAAACGAGAGTCCGCTGGCTGCAGCCTATACGAGTAGACGTGGAGGCAGACAGAAGGAGTCAGCACAGAATATACAATCAGCATGATTGTTTGACACCCCATAATCAGCGTCCTTACCCCTACCACGTTGGCAACAGCGTGGCTTCTCTGTCCGTTTTGCCTCGCCCCCGCCCGCACGTTCCTCCTCTTCCTGGTGCTGAGCACTCTTCTCCGTTCCTTTCACGTTGATACCACCTGAGACCCGATCCTCTCTCCTCTTCCCCCCCCCCCTCCCGCCTCATTCCTCTCTCGCATCTCACCTCTTCGGGTACTCGGTCCGCTTGCCACTGCGCGCGGGGCCTCATTACCCCGATCACGACTCGAAATGAGACTCGGCGGGGCAAGGAAGACGAGAAACGGACACAGTTATAAGAGACAGAAATAATGCTCGCTTCCCTTTTTTCCTCACCCGGGGACGACCTCCGGGCCGACCCATCGACCGACCGACCGGCGTTTGCCCTTTCGCTGAGGAGAACGTACGCGCGGGAGGATTACTGTCTCGAAGTTTACGCGCGTGACTGCGAGATACGGAGGAAAGCGATCGTACTCGCGCGCGCAATTGTGCGAGACACTCGCGAATCTCGCTCCATAAACCGTCACAAGCCTCCGTCGTATTTCACATTTCTATCATTCGCCTCAAGTTAAGCGTGAATCCTGCCGGTTTCACGTAGTTACGCGCTCTTATATTTTTGCTTTTGCACTTATCAAGCCGATGGGACTTTTAATAATTTTATTTCTCCTCGTACAACTTTCTGGCACGTACGTGAGATTTAGAAAGCAATCACGGGTAGAAGAAGGTGAGCGGGAGGGAGGCGGAGGAGGAGGATAACTTCGATTCAGTAACGTCGCAAGCGAAGCGAGCAGAAGATAAAAGGAGGAGTCGCGAGCGAAGGGCAAAAACAACATGGATCCAGCTCCGGATCGATCGAGAAGCGACCGATCGATCCCTGGTATTACGCAGACGTGCACGTGAGTCGTACGTGAGTGCACGAGCACGGCGGATCCTTCGCGCCGACGGCACGCCCGAGCGGAGATCCGAATCGGGTGAGGAGAGGAGAGCTACATCTCCAAGGTGGAGGAGCTGCTAAGGACGGATAGCTCTTTCTCCCCGCCGAGGCGGGAGGATGAAAATTGCATCCACCGACGCGCTCGGTCATTTCGCACCACGCACTGTCGGCCGAGCCGCATCGAAACTGCTCATTAGAGACGCGTCGAGATGGAGAGAAGTGTCGAATGAATGAACGGTAAATGGAATATCCGTCGCCAGATTGAATCCATTCATGCAAAATGCGGCGCGGAAGCGCGATGCTTTTTAGCCCGGGACAAGCAAAAGTGAAGTCAACGTCCAAGAATCGCATCGCGGAGATCGCTTTTGCGCACTCCGTCAGCGGCTAACGAGCTCTCCCGCGTTCTTTTAGCCGCGGGAGATGGTGAACGTCGCGCGGATAAACGAGCTAATTAGCACAACGGTCGATCCACGAAGGTGTCTCGGGTGACGAGAAGTCGGTCCGGAAGGTGACGGAGGACCCGATCGCACCGCGGAGCCGAGGAGCGACGGGGCAGAGGGGAGGCGGAGGAGGAGATTAGGGCAAAGAGAAACCGCAACGTAGCTTCAAAGAGGTCTCGCCAGCAGGGGCGCGTCTACTTAACTTTGATCAGGTCGAGACCGCTGATGCGAGACGAGCCGCGCAGAAATAAAGTGCCTCTCGACCTTCCCGCCTTTTTGCATCCTATATTATCTCGATAGTTCGAAATACCCGAAGCTATCCGGCACGGACGACGGGGCGGTTCGCGCGTATCGCCGCCGCGCGAGGAAAATGGCCGTGTTTTTGCCGGCTGCTCGAATTTTTAGCGTGCTGCGATGCGAGGGAGATTTAACGCGGTGCTCTCTCGCGAACGACGACTCGCCCCGTCTCATCCGTCGGAGAAAAATGTCCGCAGCGGGAAAATCTTTTCCGCAGGAGGAGAATTTCCTCCGCGGGGCTTCATCGCCCGGCCCGTCTGTTCGCGACCGATGACGGCGTTCTTCCACGAGGAGGACACTTTTTCCTCGTGCCGCGGCGACGCAACGGTGCATCGGGAGAGATCGGCGAAGGGGGAGATGCAAACGGCAGGTTGAATGTCGTTATTACGTTGAATTAGAGGGTGCAGAGCCGGAACGAGGTATGAAACTATTACCTCGCGAAACGGCAGAGGTCCCCTCTTCCTCTCCTTCCTTCCCTCGGGATCCCCTTCCACGATCTCTCCCTCTTCACCCTCTCGCGACGAAGGGTTGGGTGGGGTTAGTGCGTAGTTTCGAGTCCGTTCCACGAGGCACGAGGATGCTGCACGAGAGTGCGAGATGATGATAGCTGCACGAATATCCATCACGAACCAAAGGAGCAAATAGACCGGAAGATGTTGTTTCTACTTAGCGCTTAGGCCAGAGCCGCGCGAATCTCTGTTATGATACAAACAAGCGCGAATCTTTGCGAAAATGTAGGGACTATCTTTCGGGAGAGATTCGTTTGCGATAAATATATCGGGACCGTCTTCGAGACGTTCGTTGTCTTTAATTAATTTGGGACTTTCCTTCCTTCATCATGAGGAAGTGCATGAGAACGTGTAAAATTTGCAGGTTGAGCAATGTCGTCGCAAATTTGGCCGGACATTTCCTCGATAATTATTATGCACGAGAGTGAACTTCTATTTTTGTATCTTGAAGTTCATTGGTAAGATAAAAGTGCCAATGCCTGGACACGCACCTAATTCTGGACATTCTTGTTGTTTTAGTCTTTAAATACGAATATATATGTATATGTATTGAATATTTACAAATATTTTAAGTTTAAAGATTAAACATTCGTATTTAAAAACTAAAACAAGAATGTTCACAGTTAAGTACGTGTTCGGGCATTGGTACTTTACCGTTACCAAGTTTTTTAAGAAGACAATTCCACTTTTTCTAGTGGCATTATATGTAAATCGTTCTATTTTCCATAAAATAATCCGTTTATATATAAACGCGAACGGAGATATCATTTCTCCGCGTTGTGCGAGACGGGACTAATTTACGCGATGAGACGCACACGGATAATAAAGAATAAGTGAGAAGATCAGTACTCACCGCCGTGCTGAGGACTGCGCTTGTAGCAATCCTGATGAGCCGAGGAGCCGCCGGTAGCCCCGAGGTGTGTACTGGAAGCCGGCGATGCGGTCGGGTCGGTGTTGTTGGGGTTGGTGCAGGCACCGCTAACCGAATTCGTGGTGACGTTGTTGCCGGTCTGCTGGTCGTGTAAGTGACTACTGTGATGATGGTGATGCTTATTCCTCCCGAAGGACTCGAGTTCCCGCAGGTGGGACCTGAACGAGGTCGGCGCGTCAAGGAAGGGTCTTTGTCCCAGACCGAGCGCGCGGAATTGCTGATGTTGTTGCCCTGAAGACAAGTTATTCACAACACGATGTATGTAAATTGCTGCTGCTATCTCATCGTAACATCAGTATTTGGCTTCATTCGTTTACAAGCGCGATCGGTATTTCCGTTAAACATTCAGGGTCCAATTCAATTAAAGGATTCTGATCTCTTTTCTTTCGACGGAGATCGTCACGCCAACAGGGTCGCGGGGAATTTCAAACGAAACACGTTATAGGCATCTATTTGATTCATTGAATTATTTTTGAATTCTTTTTCTATTAGTCGTGCTTTGGACGCGATTCGGACACGTGGTATCCCTAAATCGGGCAGACTGACCGGCGTGCGTCTACGTCATTAGTTCAATAAGCGGGGTAATGAAGAAACTCGATCTCTCTTCCCTCGATAGACTTCAATAGCATTCCTCGCATATCCGGGGCCTCGTAGATAGACAGAATCTCGAGCCAAGTATCACGGTGTATATATAACGGGGATACTCCGATTCCCTATTATGTCGGGTCCCAATACACGCTTGGTACATATCGTTACACGGTGATGCACATGACTCGGCACGTGCGCGCGAGCTTGAGCGCTTGCATAATCATCGGAGATGCGTACACGATCGCAAGACGAAATCAGTTTGAGCAGCGGTAATGTTTAATTTCCGAAGCGATAGTTGCGACAGGTGCGAAGTTACAAAGATCGTGATTCATGTTTCATCGAGCAGATAATAAGTAAGAATCGGACGCAAAGTGAAATATGTATTCGTCGACGCCTGGCTGGTTGATCCTCGCGATTTTTTACGCTTAATTTGCATATCGTTAACTCCGCGACGATAATAACGGAATCACGTGAAATCCACCTATCACTGGCGAACAAACAGAAGCGGCATGTTTGCGCGCCGGTCTCCCGGTTACTCTCCGCGCTTCTCCATGCCTCTCTCGATCTTCTTCTCTTTCGATGGTTTCAACATTGAAGAGAAACCAAGAATGGGAGCCTAGGCGCAAATTGTTATTTCTCAGCAGTAGGAGGAAGAGAATGAAGGAAGGAGAGACAGCGAGGAGAGAAGGACGGTGAGGTAGAGAGAGAGACGCCTCCGGCCACGAGGGCGAACGACAAATAAAGTTCGACCGCAAACTGCACGAAATTGTCGGCGAGCCCAGATGGTCAGCTCCAGTGCTCTGACCGATGCCTACAAGATTATTCCTTGCTACCGACTACCACGATCGGCCCGCGCCAGGAGGTACAAGCCGGACCCGTGTATAGGGCCCCGCGGATCCCACGACTTCTCACGTACCGGACGCCGATAATGCCCCAAACGTACGGAGCGTTACGCAGCGATGGGCCCGTCGATGTACTCCTCGCTCGGTTCGGGCTCTCGTGAAAGGTCAAACGGTACACGCAAGGTTCGGTTCTTTGCAGTAGCCTCCGCTGTTGTAGAAACGGACCCGCGGGGAATTTCGGGGCGGGCCGATCAACGACGGATGAAATCATCCGTGAGAGATCTTTCGACACCTTATACACTCGACTAAATATATCTTTCTTTGCCTATGATTCGCGCGATCGTGAGGAATGTGGTCGGACGGCCATCAAGATGCGCAAGATCACGGAATGAACGGTGTCCTTACTAACTTGATCGCCGGATCGGCTCGTGAAAAACGTTTAATTGCGATAAACAAGTACGATGGTGATATAACACCTTCATCAATCGCCCCACTGGTTCGCGGAGCTCGGATAAGCGGAGAGAGAGGGAGTGAAAAAGAGAGTAGAGTATAATAGAGCGGGGAGAGAGAGAGAGAGAGAGAGAGAGAGAGAGAGAAAAGAGAGAAATAACTCCAATCTCCATGGCACGAGTGGTGGGCTTATCTAATCAGTGTGGCGGCCCCGAAAGGACGGAAATAACGCGGCTTTTTCCTCCTCTCTAATAACGAGTCCCTCCCTCCGCCCGTCTTACGTCCTCCTTGACGCCAGTACCCAGGCCAACGCGCGTTTCGTACATTCCATTCTCGTATGTTCACTTTTTTTTCTCAGTATTTCCTCCGCTTCTTAACGTGAAACCGACGTTCGCAGGATCCGCGCACATCCGCTCTCGATTTCCGATCTTCGCGTCGCTCGGCGATGTGACCGCGCGTTGTAATTTTCCGGCGAGCGTTGGCTCACGCGTATTCGCGAGAGCGGAAGCACCACGAGATCCGCCACTTCTCGACGCCGCTTTATCAGGAGGTGGTCTTTAATCAGACTTTTCGGTCGCCGATAGAGCCTTCCTCTGACCGGTAGGATCAAGAGCTGGTCTCGAGGGAATCCAATCGCGAAGCAGCCCAGTCCAATTTTAACATTTTGATTGACGGCCACCGACCATCGAAATTGCTTCGTATACGGTTCCTTTTGTTGCTATCGGTTTTCTCGAAAACTACATTTAAGGGAACGTCGATTGGCGGACATGCGATTTTGCGGAGATACGGGAGAATGTCGATCGATTCAGCGGCAAGAAACCAAAGTCGACGAGTCGTCATCGGTCGAACGGGCCGACGGATCGCCCCGTTCGACTCGCGCTTTATAGATTCGACGAAAACCGAGCAAAACCGGGTCTCTCTCGCGCGGATTTCTCGAAAAGGAGCGTCCTGTCATCGTTCATCATTACGTGCGAATACGGCGAGAGAGAGAGGAGGTTGGAGGAAGTATATCGTTGGCGACGTACCAGGACGCGCCTCGCGTTTCTATTAAAACGGGAAATCATTTCGAGAATCTATGACGTACTACTAATAGACGACATTCCAAATACGGAGCAATTACGGAGCGAAGCAAATTCAATTTCGACCTTTGACTGACAGCACCCATCCATCGATATCGTTTCGCTCGCTGCGTTTCGATGATTTTGGGCCACGGTGACGGGCGGCGGCCACTTTGTTTCGCGTACGGCTCTCTCTTTCTCGATTTATCCGTCCACGCTCGATTCGTCCCTGCGTGCACCGCTGCTGCCGTTTCGGTTATTGGCAACTGACAAATTACTCAGACGCTACGCCGTCGCCATTGACGCGTCCGAAAGCGAAAAGTACGGCGGCGTTATCGTCTCGCGGTTCTAATCGCTCGCCGACGGCTCATTACCGCCATTGCCAGAAACACCTCGCGGAACGTGGAGTATCATTTGTTTCTTACGTCGCGGATCGAGCGACAGCGCACTTGCTATCCTGAATTTATTCCTCGCCTGCCTGAGGAAAGGAAAGGAAAAGAAGGCAGCACTCTCTCCGTTCCGAACTCTTTCACGTCGAGCCTTGTGAATCGGCGAATTACGGAAATTGCCCGATTACCAGCCGCGTCTATGACTCGTGGGGTGCGCGCGGGCCGGGATGAATTTCCGATAACAAAAAGCTCACGATTATGCACGCAATAATGAGAGCCGGCAGGTGTTTGCGGGGCGCCGAGCGTCGCATTGTTGGCAGCACAATGAAAGCGCCGGTTGTTTAGCTCGACGTTCGTACGCCGGTTGCTGCATAGATTGTCCCTGGTGCGTGCCAACCAAGGCACGCCACGGTGCCAAAACCCGTGTATGCAATATGTCGTCATGCGTGTCTATTCCGCCGTGCCACGCGACACGCGCGCGTTCGTTCGTGTCGTCTTTCGGTTCGCAGAGGGCCAGTAGGTCGGCGACGCGACGTCCGGTCGTCGTCTGCCCGAACCGACAACTTAAACGGCTTAAACGAGCCTCCGATTTGAAGAGGGTTCCACCTACTGACCGTGCACCGCCGGTGAAAGCAATAATCGTAAAGGTAGCAGGAATCGTGTGAGAAAGACACCGTTGCGCGCCCCTTCTCGCTCGTATCGCGAGTTATTTGTGGATCTCGCGGGTGTAACTTCGCTCTTCTCCCGCAACACGGCTCGCTCTATTGGGCCGATCGTAAGGTAATTACATTTTTCCTTAACGGTAAATACACCGGACTTCGTAGGCTTTTATTTCACGTCCACGCGTTCGATTTCAGCGAGTAAGATGAGGGAAAGAGCTTGTACGGATTTATAGAGCAGTTTGTCGTAGACGAATACGCGGGCGTTTCGGAGAGCGAGGTAAAGGCGAACGGAGAGAGCGTCTTCGTGGTTGAAAATACCGAGCACCGCAGAGCTGGAAGTCGAATGGCGACGCCGACTTGAAACTTTAACTCCGCCGTTAAGTGCACTTTATGCCAGTTGGAAAATTGACGAGGTTCACGCGTTTTTGCGCGCCGGTCGCGCCCGACATGCGTGGGCCGAGTCAAGCAGTAAAAACATCAGTAAAATCAATCANAAAAAAAAAAAAAAAAAAAAAACAGCAGGGGCCAGCGGGTGTACGCGCGGCGCCCTGCGCCCATCAATACTTTATACAACAAATGCGAAACGCCCGCAAAAAACTGCCGTTTTCGCGGTTAACTCCGCAACGGCTATTAATCTGATATCGAAATAACGACGATTTTTTTTGCTCGCCGCGGATGCATCCCAAAATAGGTGTTGGCCGAATCGACGGGCATAGCGCACGGGCGCGCGCGATGTCTCCTTTCGACCCGGCGAACTCGGTCGAGTTATAAAACTGGAGGGTCGGGAACCGCCACCGCCGATCGACTTTTACTGCGTTTCGCGTGATTCTATCAATTTCGGGCCGACCGATAATGAGCCCGCCAACAGAATGTTTTAGCAATTTTTCGGGGGTTTTCGCGGCGAATTAGCGTAAGTGAGTTAGCGTACCCGGCTGGGCACGAACGCGCGCTTGTAAAAGCATTGTCTCTCCCGCGTGCGCGCCCGCGCGTGTGTGTAGATGCGCGAATAGCCCAACCCGAAACACGCACCAGCGCGATACGCACGTCGACCACTGCATCATCGCGCACCATCTGCTCGGTAATGACTCCCCATTACCGCGTACAGGGACTTTCGTTGAATTATCGGTACATTTTCAGGGAATCCCCGGGCGACGCGGCGCGGCGCCGGCGGCGGAGCCGCGCCGAATAGATCTCGCGATCGAAGCGTCGCATAAAGTGTCGCGTAAAGTGATTCACTTACTCGTTTTCGATCGCGGCTCCCGCGGTCCGTCGACGGTCACCTTAATCGCCCTCGTGTAGGTCGCCACTTGGGGAGGTGTCGTCGATACGGTAATGGTGATGCTGAAGCTCTTCCCTGCGACAGAGAGTGATGATTACGAATTAGTTGGAAGCTGAGTCTGCCTCGTCATTAATCTGTCAAACCAAAGAGCTCTGTCGATCGTCGTTGTCGAAGTATTTTCTACTTTCTTTTCTATTTTCGTGTATTTATCAATTTTTTTTTAATTATATATACTGAACGCTACGCCACTTATTCGAGTTTTCATCTTTCACTCGATACGACGAAGGTGGAGTCTGATTTGTAATTTGCGACTTTGCAATTACGCCCGTGTCTATTAGATCTTAACGGACCCTCGGTATTCTTAAGCACGCTGAAGGATAATAGAAGAGGAGTGGATGCTCGGGGGTGGAGCGGTCGTGTACATATATCATCGGCGAAGGTCTGAAAGTTGAAGGTCCGGTATATTAATTCCCTCTCCATAAACGTCCGTCGGAGAGATTGACTACGCGCTCTTAAACGACCCATCGCGCGCTAATATGCATTCGGTAATTCGCCGCTCTTTCGCAGCTCGTCCGTTCGAGCAGAAGACGCCAGGTTGTGTGTGTCTCTTTCGACTGTCCCGCTCGAACAGAGAGAGAGAGAGAGTTCTGTCGCCCGGCAAAAGATTTAACCCCGCGTTATTTACGTCCTCCGAAATTAGAGGCGGAAGAGATACTTTTTAACCCCGTCGGACGGGCCGCCGTCAAAGGGTGACAAGTAGGAGGCGACAAGTTGGGTGAGGACAATTCGTACGATGTTATCCGTTTTCGCGGCATTGTCCTCGAAACACTCGGTGCCAATCTGTCCGACATGACGAAACGAAACACGACCAAGACTGCTGTTTACGCCAAAAGAGACGATACCTAACGCGCCGCGGACATGCAATCGTTTGTGTTGGCGTAAATGTCAACGATTTGTAATTGTCTCCCCTTGGTGCACCCAGTTCCACCTCGCTGTGTCTGTCAACATGATAACCGGCATCAAACACCGCCAACCCCGCCACCCCCGGGAGCTGCAACTGACTGCAGAGCTACACGGCGTTATATCCCAGTTATATCGTAGCCCTCTCCGCTCTTCCGTGATAGAGCTCACCCCCGTTTGCACCCTCCGCTCGATCCCAGGATACCTCTACCTCTCGCGGCCGTCATTGTCATCGTCATCGTTCATCTGTCGCGCGCAAAGTGCATCGCTCCGGAATGCAAAACCGCGTTTTTGCATCAGAAGACGGTTCTTTCGAGCGCGATTGCAGGACGCGATTGCAGGGCTGCCTGAATGACAAGAGTGCAATCGATTTTTTTTTTGAGCCGAGCGAACTGAACTCGCCGGAAGAAACGGTGAAATTAGACTTGGTCCCGCGGTCGGTGGTGGACCGTTATCTAAGTCACCCAACGGTTAAATCGGCGTCTAACGAGCGTGAGAGCGATATCCGGTGGTGAAAAATCGCGGAAAATTCGGAGGGATGCCAAAGTCGGGGGGTGGTAGCGGCCGATCGGAGGAAGGGTCGCGCGCTGGACCCCCTTCCCCGGCCGAGTCCATCGCATTTGGGGCTAATAATGCCGCACAGCCGACTCCCCTCTCCGGCACCCGGACCTGCGGTTAATACTCGATGATGGGAACGGTCATCTGCAGAGACAGGACCCGGCCTGTGCATTCGCGAACGACGGACGGTCGGTCGGTCGGTCGGACGGACGGACGGACGGACGGATGAACGGACAGACGGACGGACGGACGAACGAACGAACGGACAGACGGACGGACAGACAAAACCGGGCCACGCGTATGTGGCACCTATATAACGTGCAGCATCACAGCTCGACTGCTCACGGTCCTCCGTGTGTTTCTCCCTGCGTGCGTGTGTGTCAGTGCGTTGGCAACACACCGAGGATGAGATGAGCGCGCCAACCCAAACCGCCCACACACAACCGCCCGAAACCACTCAAAACCGTCCGTTAATACTCATGGCGACGGGCGGAGGGGACGAGGTCGCGTAGGGCTAGGCGAGCAGCACACCGGGGTAGAAAGGATATGGGGGTGGGCGAGGGAACGGACGTGTCGGTGGAGAAGGGACGGAGCGGAGGTCCCCGAGTCTCCCAACAGGATGTCTCTGCAATTGTCAAATAATTACTATCGGTGGTAATTTCAGCCGTGTCGATATAGACTGCGGTATATTACTAATTATAGGCACGGGCCGCTTTCGACCCGGCGATGATGGAACGAACGGCCGTCGTCGTTTCAGCCTCCAGCAGCCCTCTTTGATTCGGCGCTACCACGTCTCGTTTCTTTCCGCTCACGGTGAGCTTTCGGGATGAGCCGTTCCGGCGTTTACGGGAGGCGATAATTGCCGGGGGCGATCGTGGACGCGAGGGAGGGACGGAGGGAGACCACGCGCTATTTCGAAAGGACGGTCGATGTCCGATAAGTTTACAGTAATACGCTTTAATGAAGAGAAAAACGCTCAGTCATCATCGTCGACTTGCGGTCATCTCGTGTTATTTCCTTTTTAGCGCAAACTAGCTTTAATAGCCGACTGATTAGCGGTAATAAAGCATGAGACGCGATCGGCGCCTTGCGCGATGACGGAAGACACGTGTAAAAGTAATTTCAATCGGATATATACACACGGCTCGGAGGAAATTGTGCGGTGAGAAAAATCGGGAGGGACAGAACGGCTCCCGGCTGGCGAAGTCGCTCGTCGAAAAATAATCTCGTCGTGTTGCTCGTTGTGTCGCCGATCCCCTTTTTAATCGAGGAGGCAGCAGCGGCCGCGATTTTTCGTGGCTTCGCTGTTTTAAAATCCTCGCTGCAATTTCTTGAATCAGTTTGCCGGCCGATGCGATGCAATTCAATCAAATTAATAAGTCGCGGAAACAAAACCTCGATGATAGGAGAGGCCCGGCTCGCCCGGTGGTGGCCGATATCAACACACCGAGGGCGGTTTGGTCAATCGCCGAAATTGAGTATTATGGATTATTGGGGGAGAGATTGAAACGACGAAAAAAAAAAAAAACGTATAACAACAAGCCGAAAAATGGACAAAGGGATCGAAGGATTTTGGCGAGGGAAGTGTCTCTTTCGCTAATTGACTCCGAGGACCGATGCACCTGTATCAGGAGCATGAAAATCGCGAGCCCTGCACTTCATGATCAAATCAAATGAAACATAGATGACGCGATACGGGACGAGCGTCCCGTGTACGAGCAGTCCACCCCGTTAATTCATAAACGCACCCTCCGGATCATAGGGTGCAAAATGCATTTGTAGGCTTTGACAAAGCCGCCTGCTGATCCGTGAATAATTATTGCCGGCCGGAAAATCGATATTTCGACAGCGCAAACAAGTCGAATGTTCAACTGTAAACATTTTGTATTGTAAGAGAGACTAGCGCGATTCGAGATTACATTCTGTTTTTCATATTTTCTCCGCATTTTCGATTTTCACCGCATCGGTCATCAAACTTTGCGTTATAGTGCATTTTCTTTTTTCATCGCGGCGCAATCAACGTTGCTTTGATATTTTTATCAATCGACGTGCGCGCGAAAGAGCCGCAAAAGGTTGTCGGAAAATTAGGGTCGAAAATTAAACAAGTCAAGAGCATCGATCGACGTTGGTTGATTTTGGCAAGTCATCCTCTCCGTCCATATCCGTCCATATCCGTCGGATGATTTCTGATTAACGGCCAGTTGTTTCGAATGCTCGGTTGGGGCTTGTGGCAGACATCGAGTAATGACTCTGGGGGTGGCAGGAGCGGGAACTCGCGGATGGGGACGCACGGGGGTGAACGAGGGTGGCCCGATGATGATGATTACAATAACCGTGATTTTAGAGGGCTGGAAATCGCGGCACGCGCTTTTGCTCATTCTGATATACAGCGCCGGGGATTTCTCGTATGAACTCCGATATGATCAAAGGTATGGCAAATTGTTCCCGAGCGAATAATTGGAAGTTTAATACCTTTCTTTCACAAACGCAAAACGATTCTTTTTCACTTCTTTTTCTTTCTTTTTTGGCGAATACGCGTCTTATAATTTAGGAGTCCGCGTTGAAGACTCCGAGTCCACAATAATGGGAAGAATTGTCTGATATATATTTATAATATATTTTGTTTATCATCGCGATCGACAACAATAAGAATCGTCGCAAGTAGACGTTACAGAATCTCGGGAATCGCACAACTAATTTGGACAAACTAAGAATAACAACTAAAAAATAAAATGCGTTAATTTAAGCCGTTGGAACAGTTTCATCCTATCCTAATCTAGCCGACTTGTACGAAACGCGGAATGATTTTTTCTACTGCGTTCGGAATGTAAAGTTTGAGATTTTGTATAATAATAGAGACTCACCCCTGCCGCTTCTGCCGACGAACCTAAGGTCGTTGAACTTGGCGACTTGATTCTTCATCAGCGCGGTCGAGTTTCGCAGCTCCGCGCAACAGTTTTCGTCGTTGCCGGCTCGGACCGTCACCAAAGTCCCGTCGCCAACCTCGCCGAGAGCAACCACTTTAAACGCCACTGGTAGGGTTTTGTTGGACCGCCAGTGAGTCGGTAATTGACTGCACAGAAAATACGGCGAACCTGCAACAAAGTCACGCAGATTTTCATCATAGAAAATTGTTTTTATCGTAAAAAATTGTTTTATACTCGTCACTCCGTTCAAATAAGATTCAACGAAAGCCAGAACTTATTTTAATGAAGTGACGAGTACAGCGCAAACGCGACACCTGTTCGCATTGTGTACAATCCGATTTTCTACGTGTATTCTCCCACTTTCCTTTTCTACGTATTTTTGCGTCTGTTTTCTCAAATATCAAAGATTTCGTCGTCGTTGTTACGCTTGTTCTTAATCACACTTAATACTAAATACTAACCTGTCCTGACGAGTTCTCCAGGATGCTCGGCCTGCGCTTCGCCGACGAGTCTTTCGGTCCACCATAGTTCGCCGACGGCGGCACTCTCGCTCATCTCGCCACCTCCACCCCCGACGTCGGCGTCGTCTATCTGGTGGTACCTGCTGTTTACACCTTGCAGCGGCGCCAGGGAGGGACCGCACGGGCCGGCGCCTTCGTGGGATCCAACGGTGCCGTAATTCTCCCCGCAGGCCACGGAACCCACCGGTAGATGCATCCCATCGGCCAGTAGCCGCCCCTCGTCGCCTAAGCACGCACCCCCTGGCCGGGACGTCGTGATTTCACTTGCTTCGCGGACGGAGGCGACCCCGAAGTCGTTCCGTCTTCGTACCTCGCTACCAGCTAGCCCAACAGATCCTTCGTTGCTCGTGATCGATCAGTCGTTTCTCTTCCTTGATGACTGCGCCGTTTCGCATGATCAAACGCGGGATCGTCATAGTCACAGGTGAAAATTTCAATAACGGGAAGCCACGTACCGGTTTCGCCCCATGATCGACGGAGATTGCCGTCCACGAGACCTCCAGGTGTACCGTGACACTTCTCATACACGACGGGATAGCAGATAGTCCAGCGATTTAAAGTACCGCCGTCACTGTCAGTTCGCAGTTCACTCAACACCCAGCATCGGCCGAAACTGACACCAACGTACCCATCACTATTCCAGTATCTTTCCCCGGAAACACTACCGTCCGTGACACCTAATCATCTGTCTACTCCTACAGGTTGTCGCTGTCGATGATGCCGATTCTTCGAATCCGCCAGAACGTCACGACGTTACACTCGGTCGAACGGCGCACTTTTCCTACATAACGCCTTCTGACATTTCCTTCTAGCGAATTGCGTTATGATCGCGAGGTCGGTGGGGCGCTCGGTCGGTGCTCTCACGCGAACGTCAGTCGCGGTCGACGGTGCGCGACGTAATGCCGCGCGAGCGGCTCGGCGGACCGCGTGTTCCGCGCGTAAGCGGCCCGGGACGGCCTAAGCCCGCGGGTTCTGGACCCCCGCCTCCGCTTTTGCCCCCAACTGACGTCCCTCGCGGCAGAGCGTAGCGCGCGGGTTACGTTCGGGTGCTCCCACCACCATCACGTTGCTCGCCGTCCGCCCCACGTCGCGCCACTTTTCGAAGCGTGATCTCCGCTGGATCTCCCGACTCCGGCGGTGTGCGCTCGCCTCGCCGACGACGTACTCTTTCTCCAGCACTTCCGCCGCCCGGCGAAACCTCTCTCTCGTCCCCGCGCACCGGAGGCGGCAGTGACCGTTACATGAAGAAAGAGATGGTGTTCATGAATTCGCCGGGTCGCGAGCCAGTAGACGTGATACGCATGTGTACGATACGAGTTTGAATAAATTCGTGGGATTCCCCATGTGTCAGCGCCGACGTTCGCGTTTTTCCTACAGTGACTGGGCGATTCTTATGCCGTGGCCGTGTTTAATTAACATTCAAGCAACTAGTTTTCAGATCGAAGCCTTTCGCTAGAATTACCATGCGACTTCTCCAAAAGTGGATCTATCAATCCACAATGTGCAGCGGTGGGACGTAGACTAATGACGATCAGCCGCTTTTCAGGTCACTTCTCGCGGACGATAAGGGATAAACGCCGAAGAAATTCCCGACGTTATCGCGTGATTTCTCACGACGGTCCAGCCTCTGCTGGCCGCGATATCGCGATGGCCCAGCCTTCGGGCGATTCTTCCCCTCCTTTCTCCAGAGTGGGAACGGACGCGACGTGGGGGGTGGAAAGCGTCATTCGGAGATGATATGAGTTAGCAACGAATCTCCCATTATATATACATCTTCCATATTGTAATGTATGAGCGTCCGTATATTTCCTTGTGTGTATAATGCTAACTATAATCATAATTATTATAATTAACGTTGGAATTCATTCTTTATCTTATTAACCCTTTGCACTCGAGGGCTCCGGAGCGGAGCCATTTAAAATTTGTCTTCAAACTCGAGGGCTCCGCTATGGAGACGATGCAAATAACTTTCAGTTCATAACATAAGGACAAAGACAAATCGTAAAAACTATTGTGTATAGGATATTCCGCTCTTGCTATTTGCATTTGAGTTTGAAGACAAATTTTAAATGGCTCCACTCCGGAGCCCTCGAGTGCAAAGGGTTAATAAATATATTTGTATCATTGTGTTTTATTGTATAGTTCACATCAATATTTATATAATTAATTCAGTACTTACATAATTAATTCAGTCAGTTTTATATGATTAATTAATGTAGAAACTCTTTATCTCATTAATAAATATATGTATATATTTGCGTCCGTGTGTTTCATCGTGTAGTTCATGTCAGCATGATTTGAATTAATTTCCCACACTTGTATCTATAAATATATTATATTATATACATATAAATTATACAGGAAATTTTGGGGGATGTTTGAAGCAGAATGGACCTGACTACGACCAGAGATCAACGGATGTTTTGAAGCGGATGACATTTGCTCGGTTCATAAACACGTCCGTACGCTGGCTGGTTTCTTTGGTTTCCGCAAAATCTCAGTAGTACAGCATTCTGTCAAGCAACGGCAAGGCGTAACAAGTGTCCATGTGACGTCACTCGAGTTTCTGGAGGCGGAGCTTCTCGTTGGGGAAGCAGGTGGAGGGGTCAAACTCTCCCGCATCATGCATCGCTTGCCCCACCCCCGCGATTTTGTTCCTTTGCGCTTCCACCACTTTCCACCTTCTCCTTCTCTCGTTCTCCCTTTTCCTTCTTCGCGAAGGCTTGGATCTCAACGTTTCTCACTGGAAACGTGGAACACTGTCGCAGGTGAACGGTACTCTTCAGTAGTCAGCCATTGTTGCATAAATTAAGAAGTATTCCTGGTCATCTTCAGTAGACTTAACCGAATTTGCTGAATTTAACTGAAACAGTTGTCTTAAGCGGTCACGTTCATTCAATTTTTATTACTTTAACAGATCATGTCATTCTGCAATTTGCTGTTCAAGTAAGTGTATCTCAAAATTAGATTCTAAAAGTTTGGGCAATCTTATGTTTTCTTATCCGATGGAAGGCATCCAAATAAAATCTGCGAGAGAAGAGAGTCTCGTCATGTAATTAGCAACCAGTTTATATGCCTAGAGGAAAGACACTATATTTTTCAAGATTTCGTATGTCTCCTGAGAATCGTTTAAATCTCGGTTTCACTAGGGTGTCCAGACCAAAAATTTCAAATCGCGGTCACATGATGCTACTGTTTACTACACTGTGGTCTGCTGAAGCGCAATCGAGAAGGCACATGCGGTTTCCCGTGTTCGCAAGAATACGTGTAGGTGATTAACTCCTTGGGTAGCTTCCACATATGAGGGTGAGTTCACCGATCGCTCACCTATCTATATCGCGATATACAGCGAAATGTTCGCAAACGCCGCAAAAATCGGCGCTTCGATCAATCGCTAAACCGCAACCACTGCGACCGCATTATTTGTAAGTTACACAAGTAGTAACGTATCAGCCTGTGACGCTGACCAAGAATTAAGACATAAACCCTTTCGATCAGTTGCGACGCGGCAATAAGAGGTGGCGATCTTGAGAATATATGGCACGTTCGTGTATAAAAGGAATCAAATTTCACACACTCTATGGCCGAATAATTGATTACGAAAAGTCGGAACACCAGTGCACTGCAGCTGTGTAATATATGTGAAATTGCAGTTCCGATTATTTTAAAATATATATAATATATATAATACATTCTGTGAATGTAATACTGTACGCATGATTATTCTTCGCACAGGTTTTCGACCATAACTTCAATTTATACCCGAGTCGAAATTTTAGTTTTATTTTAAGTATAATTTAGTTATTAATTACATTAAGTTCAAAGACCTTCTGTTGTGTTTTCTTGGTACTACAAATAGGAAAATTATTCTTCATTTGAAGATTTAATATAAAACTAAAATTTAGACTCTGGACGACTAAATTACCTTTCTTACTAAATTACCTTTCTTATTGAGCTCCTTTCATGCTACAAGTGGAAACTTATTTTCGTTTCCTCCACTTGAAGACTCAATGTAGAATTTAATATTTCGACTCGGGTATTCTCATGCATTTTATATTCTTATGCAAATTAGAAGTAGGTTCGGACAACGTTTGGCCAGCGTTCGTCTGAAAACAGGGTTAGTAAGACATTATTCAACCGCAGCTAGATTATACCCGACGGCTGCATTAGGCAGCACGAGATAACAGATTAACAGCGGGCGGGCAAAACGAGTTGAAAGACGTTTTTGACGCTTTTTTATCAGGACGACGATATCGCTTCGTAGCGAGTCACTTCCAGCGCCACCGGAAAAGCTCACAAGACCGGCTTATCGTTAATTGCTTTCTCAGAAAAATGTCGGTCTGTAAAAAGAAATAGTTTTTACGGCATACATTAAGTGTATCTCGTTCAGCATTTATACGATTTAATTTTACTTTGATCTAATAAGAAAATTCAATACTTAAAGTTATCTAGTCATCGAGATAGAATGATTAATTTTGTTATAGGTAATTTTATTAAAAAGTATTCATGTGTCTCATGTTAAATAACTTAATTTCATATAATTTTACGCTGCAAACAATTTGTTTTATGATTATGTGATAAGTTAATAATTGATAAGCAATTATGAATATAAACAAAACACAGTGCACCGTGTCATCGTGATAATAATACCAACATAAGAGGACATACTTCTCATAGAAAGGCAAATCTTCGTTTCTCCGGTGGACAAAGGCAGAATTCGTTGGGTGTAAGTTAATTTGCCGTCTACGTAAAAGCCGAGCTAATGAACTATAAATAAGGGAGGAATACTTGTGCCAAGTGGACAGCCGCACTTACTGACCCTTCGTAATTAAAATCCCGTCCTAAATCAGGACTAGGGACGCGATTAGACGAGGATCGCTCCTGTTCCGTCAGCTTACGAGCAAATCCGTGGCCTTTACGTGCTCGAGCCCTCACCTACCTCGGTTCTTATTACGCGTATATATTCGTACAGGCCAACTTTATTAGGAGTCCAACTTTTTAGAAAGCAGCCTAAATAAGAATGCCTGTTACAGAAAGTCGTTACGATTTGAAGGAAATTCGAAGACAGATAATAAGACAGATTGTGAAACAATTTTGCAGCTGAATAACTTTGAATTGTTGCAACCTGAATGATGAATACGTCATATGGCACCGGCAAGTATTTTTGTTAGAAAAAAGAAGAACAAAGGAAAAAATAAGCAAAAGTGCAGCTCGTTCGTGACCATACGGAGCGATCCTTTCCGTTTCCGTTTCCGTCGATATAATTCGTCGTTCGTTAATCCAGCTACGAAGCGTGCAGTTAATAATCCTTTTGGGCAGGACACGCGATAAAACGGGGGCGGCAGGGTCAAGAAAGAGAGGATTTGTCGAAGAGTCGGAGGCGAGGGTTGGAGAATAACCGACTGCGAATTTTATGCTTCAGTTCGAGAAGCTAGAGATACACGTGTCGTCTAATTTATATATGTATTGAAACAGTATTCGAAACAATTTCCAAATTAATTGCAAAATCAATTGATACCACAAGTCTTTCGCGAACAATTTCATTAATTATCGATTAACGTTGGATCTGCTGGCTATATATTTCGTAGAATCGCCGAAGTAAAAAAAATACGTCGTGTTTTACCAGGTAATATTAATGCTTAATTAAAATTGTTCGTGAAGCGCTTCTCTTTCACTTAATTCTACCGCGTCGTTTGAAGGATAACTAACTGGCGGAGGCGGTAAAAATGGAAAGGGATACGATGATATTAGATTCGACAAATAGAGGTCTCGAATGCCACGATTAAACGAGTTGAAACACAGCTCCCGCCACTATTATCTTCCATCCTCGCGTCCCTCTCAGCGGCTATACTTTCCCCGACCACCGACGTAGATACGTCCACCCTTGTATGTTCCGTTAATAAGCTTAATAAAGCCCCCGTGCGACTGTCTCCCTGTATTGTCCAGTATACACTCCAGATTCCAACGATACAGGGATGGCACACGAATTTCGCGACACTTCAGAAAGCGATGCTTAATAATGCGATCCAACCTGTCATTTGCATTCTTTAATTACGCAAAATTACATTTCCTGGAAACATTAAGTTTTACATATGACCAGCAGAAATAATTCATTATTTATGAATTACTTAGAAATTCATAATTTAAACCATATAAGTTTTAATTAATATATATTCCTCAATTAATCTCTCAAATAATCATAGCTTTATTTGCTAGTAATTAACATAGTAAGAATGTGGATTTTTGTTAATACTCGTATACCTTTATCAAAGAAACAAAATCTAAGTTTGAATACAGTTGATTACTCAGCATCTTATTTTTCTATAAATATCCTTTGCATATTTAAACAATAATTGCATATATTTCGATATAAAAGTTAGAAATAAAATATCATGAGATACCTCAGAAAAGATAAGAAGCATTTCTTCTCAATGAGGACTATGGAGCAGTGTTGCCTAGTTGTACAGTCGTCGAAATTTACAGCTTCTACCTCCCTGTGCTTACAGCAGCGAGGAACAGCAGCGAGGAATGTAAGCTCGACAAGGTCCGGCTTTGAGAAGGACATCAAAAGGATGGTAATACACAGACGTGAGATCTGGTCTATCTCCCTCTTGCGCTCAGGATTTCATCCTATTTGGTCGTGCGAGCTTTAAAGTACAAGCGTTGGTCAGTCGTTTGGCTTGGATTGCAAAGCGTAAATTGACTCAAGTATTAAACAGAAGTATTTAAACAGAGGAATAATTCCACAAAAAAATATTCAAACTTATGAATTGAGGTTATAAATAATAAAATCTGCTTTATCAAGATCTTTCATGAATATGAGAAATAAAGGTTAGGAGAGAAAGTTTCAGAAATATATTTTTCTTTCTCTTGAACGGAATTCAGAATCTGATAATGAAGCTGTGATTAAAACGGTAACTTACATATTGTGTACAGGTGTTCCAGTGTCCGAGTGCTTCCCAAGTGAATCCCGACGTTTTTCTACGTAGAAAATAAATAACGGGATAAATTAAATAATACATTGCTCGACCATTTAAAGTGTATCGGAACACACCGTTTGAATTGACTTTATCGCGGTTACCTTAATTATCTCGTTTCACGCCGTGCCATTGTTCGTAATCGCAATGGACCCGTCCTGCTCCGGTGTTTCATATGGAATAACCGATGGAAATTTTTAAACACGACCACTGAAAGTATCGTAGGACGACCGTTGCAACAAAATAGTCCCAATTTCGGTAACCGATATTAACCAACCAATATTTAATCAATTTAACCGATCGTAAAATAACGGTAAAAATAATATTAAAATAATAATATTAAAATAGACTCGAATTCTCACTAATATTGGTAAAACCAACTCGAAACTTTTCGAATAACAATAACATGATAAGTGGCGGGCAATGTTAATCGAGTGACATACGCGAGATCACTACGCGCGCGTAGCCCCCTTTTCAGTTCGTATCGTCCTACGGCCGAGTGGAGACGCTGTACGGATCCGCGGTCTTTTAACTCGTTCAAGGTGAGTCCCGCGCGCGAATAATCACCGAAAGTACTCGGGGGTGTCGAATAAAGTGTCGTACGATTCTCGTGGCGTGTTATTTATCGTATACGACACCGCGATCAACCGTATTCCCGCGATGACTATCTCGGACATGTATCTCAAGAATGTCGTCCGACATGACACCCCCTTCGTCGTTGGATCGCGTCCCGAAACCGTGATCGACATTTACATTAGCATTTATTTCATCAGTCATGAGAAAGAGATTTTCGCTCTTTTTGTTCTCACGGCTCAATTAAGTACTAACCTAACCGTTGAGAGTACCTGGTAAGTCGTGGGATGCGAAAAACATTGTCGGCGCCTCCCGTGGCACTGAAAATCGTCGTACGTGCGACAATCTATTGTTCGTCGAGCGTATTTCGGTTAAATGAATATAACCGAATGCGCATGCGTAACCGTCATTCTCGCGCCCTTTCTTACCGAAGTCAGAAGTTCAAAGTCAGAATGCGTAAATCGCGAGCGAAATCGTGAGTGAATCGGGCGTACAAGTGTTGTCTCGGGAGTGCCCGGGAATCGATTTCGCGATGATCCTGGAATCTTTTGAGATGAACTGCACGAGACAAAGCAGGACAGCGCTGGGTGAAGTAAACAACACTGGGCGAGAGGACAGCGTCGCCTTTTCTGGGGAAGTGCAACATATATTGAGCAGCTGGTAAGTTAATTGTATTTCTGACTTCATTTGTTTACTCGAGACGATTTGATGTCGCGGTGTTACTAATTTAGTGAAAAACTCGTTTCTTACGAAAGGGCGCCTAAGCTCTTCCAAGGTGAACATAATAGAGATTATACGATGTCACATTAACCTATAAAAAAGTAAATTCAGACTTCACAATCGGTAATTGCAGTAAGCATGTATATTCGATGTGCTAGTTTGGAAATGTTTAATTTGCAATGGAAGGGCATTAATGCGAGTTTATATTTTAGTAAAATTGTAATCGGCAGTAGATAGATAGAAAATCGAATGGCGTTGCAAGATTCCTTCGTTTTATCATTTGACTGTCGAGTATATCGTGAACGTCGATAACTTCTATATTTATGGTAGGTAAGAGAGCAGTCGGTAAATGAATCGTTAGAATTTTTACGACAGCAGCGACTATATATCGGCTGCGAAGTACTTTGCAGTTGCACCGTGCATCGCCGATGGCGCCACTTTACGGTGCAATGTGCATTTCCAACACGAATACGATGCTAGGCCACCTTTCGGACAAGCGTGTTTGTGACGTTTGTGATATTTTAATTTTATGATATTATCGATTACCTTTTATTGTCACAAATCATAGATATCTGAATTATCTTTCATAAAGACCGAAATCGTGTTCCTTTAAATATGCAATGGAAAATGTCCGATTGTAGAGTCTGTCAAATGTCGAGTATGACGTATTTAATCGTATTTAAGATAATTGATCTGTCAAACCATATTCTTAGAATCCTTTTAAATTTTAACTGCGCATTGATGAGAACATTATTTACACGTTTGTGTAAAGTTAGAAAACGGTTGACTCTTCGAAAGAGATATTCATAACTGAAGATGACACTTTTTATACGTGTTCCTTGAGTTTAATGTCTTATTTTTAACTTTTGTTTTTAATTTCTTTTAAACTACATTTAGGGTTTTTATGGAAAAATACTGCGATAATTTGTATAAGGGCTAATACAGAGACATACAAAAATTTCAAAATTTTTAACTATTGTGTCTTGAACATATATCCATATCAATGAAAATAAAACGTTGGACTTGCACCAATACATTTCTTGGACTTGGACTGATACATTTCTAAAAACTGCTAGATGTTTACTTTTTGTAATTAGAAATTATCGGACTAACCAGGATTAAATATCTTTATCGTTCCAATATCGTATTATTTGCATTGCAAAATTATTCGCCGGATACGGATTCCTGTAATTTTGCACGAGGATGCATTCACGGATTACATTTGGCGGAAAAAAAAGTGTATCCCGTACGGAACATCCACCTCGCGTGGCCGCTACAACTTTCTCCTCTGTCCTTCCCCCTCTCTCGCTCTGTCTCCCTCTTTTTCAGTATCCTAAATCGCCGGATCTCGCTGCATTATCCAACTCCCTCCCGTTCCCCCCGCTAGGCGTAAGCCACATTATACGACACCCGAGAAAATCGGGAGCACATCCTGTGCACCGAATGCACCCCGGTCGACAACAATGGACCGGGTTTTGCGCCATTATGTTGCTGGGGGATCACATTACTGGCCGATACGATCTGGCGCGCTTTCAGCACGGCTCTCCGATTTTATCGCGTACGCGCATGGATGGCCGATCTTTTTCCCTTTCGACGCTCTCGCGCGCAACCGGTGCGGAACTACCGAATTTCGCGTCGGTCCAGCCCCGGAATTACATGTAATTACGCAGTTGCGTGGATTTTTTTGCCGCACGAGTAGACCGCGCGCAAACGCGTAAAGTATCGGGCAGCGAGAGGGCAAGGGGTGAGAGAGCGCGAAACTGTCGGGCTGAGACGATTCGTTCGCCATGGTCGTCGAGGTCGATCGGGATTATTGTCGCGTTTCGCCCTTTGCGGAAAAATAGTGGCTACACGAATGCGGCACGTTTAACCGAAATCCCTCTCTTGGATCTCTTTCGTGTTTCGCGCGTACGCGATGCAAGCGTCGAATTAGACAGAGTCTGCGATAGGAGAGAGAGAACGTTCGTCGTGTTTGCCGCTGTAAAAGCTGCATTAAGGCTGCCGATACGATCTCGCGACAGCGGCCAGATTTTATCTATTACCGGGCGTGAGTGCTCGATTTTTCGACGCGCGGAGTAAGGCTGCCGTCGATTCGCGAAACTGCAACTCGCCGGCCTCTCACTTCGTGCTTCCCTTTCGATACAGCTCGCCGACCGCTCGGATCGCTCGTCCCGTATTCGGTTCCTGAAATTGCAAAAGTCACTGCGGAGATTAATTTACGAGAGTCGCGAACGCGCGGCGTATTTCTCGCGAGGTGGCCCGTCTTTGAAGCGTCGCGACGTGCCGCAAAAACGCGATTGCACGGACGCGCGGAGGCGGCACACGTCGAGGTAGTTTCATTAGGACGCGCGATGAAATATCTCTGACCCGTTAGACAGTAAATTTGCACGAATTAGAATTTCAAGTGTCGCGCCACGGCGCGGCCCATGCCTGCCGAAAGAAAAGGGAAATCGACGCGACGGCGCGAAGCGTCGATGCCGCCGCCGGCGGTGCGGAGGAGGCGGTGGCACGCAAAAAACGCGGGGGCAGCGTGGATATTATTTTTTAACCGTGTGATATACGACCGAGCGTACGATTTACAGAGTTACAGAGCGGACTGACGATTGTCTCGCATTTACCATTTTCTAAAAAAAAAAAAATGCACTTTTTTTCTTCCTTCACGTCATTGTGCCTCAACCTTTTCACCTTTTTGGTGATATTTTCTCGACGTTTTCCGTAACTTTCTCCTTTTCTTTAAACTATTCGCCAAATCCGCATTTTTACCATCAAGGTTTGGATTTTTTGGCATATAAAAAACAGGAAAAAAGACATACACCATGAACGAAGGGAAACGAGGGAGCCGGAAGGGACAATGGCTTGGCATGCTGACCACGGTCCGGCGGGTCTTTTAATTTTTATGGGATTTTCGGGTTAAAACGGCAAGCAACCATTCGCTAGCGCTCTCTGTACAAACGACCGAGGCCGGTTTTTCCTTCTGCGGGTTTTTTATTAGGATTGTAAAATCCTTGTGGTTCGCCGCCGACTGACCGAAGGATAGTTGGAGAAAAATTCGAGCGCCCAGGTAACGAGTCGGTTAGGCCCAGAATGAGGCCCACCACGAGGCGACCATATTATACCTATTATAACGGACGCGTGCTTTTCGATAAAAAATTCGCAAAAAGATTCATCGAAGAGCGGACTATGATAAAAAAAGTCATGCATAAAAAGCAAGGAAAGAATAGGACAACTTATCATGTCGTAAACCGAATTGTGTTTTTATGGGCTACGTTTTAGACTAGCGGTCGGAATTATTTACATTTTCGAAGTGGCTTCCAGGAGCTACTTTCTTCCTTTCTGTTTCTTTCCGCTCGCCTGTCAAGTAATTACAATCGCAGTGCATAACCTGAGGACCGACAAATTTATAACACTGTGAGGCGCTCATTAATTACTAAAAAGTTTTTAAATTCAAATTACGGTTCTATCGTTGTAATTTTAACAGTTTAATAATATTTGTTGCGTATAAAAATAATACACTTAGAAGACTAGTTTCAATAAAAACTTTTCAGAAATTATAGGGCGTCTTACAGAGATCCTAAGAAGTTGACAGTCCTGAGGCTGAATGCACAATTGTTAGTTGTTCAAAAGATGAGCGGCAGAGACAATGGGAAGAAAGTGGGTTTCAAAAATCGCTTCAAAAGTGTAAATAATTCTGACCACTGTTTTATATCAAATTGATCATAGTTATGCAAGAAAGATCTGACCCATATGAAATACGTTTCGAGAAAAATGAAGATGAAAATTTAGCATATGACTTAAAAAATGTAAATAACACTGAGGTTCTTTACAATCCCTCAAGAAGTCAAGTATGATCCATTTTCTTCTACTAAAACTGCGGCAATTTTTTTTCCTCCTAGAAACGCGGATGAGTCACTATTTTGACCTACTTCTTTTTTTGTAATTATCCATTCACTTTTTTCAACTTTATGATATTGTTTATTTGTTTTATGATAAAAAAACTTCCCAGTGATGAAAGTCTAGAGAAATGGGAGAGAAAACAATTTACAAGTGGGTCAAAAATGACCCAAACATGGTTCTAGCGTTAAGGTTATTCATTGACAAACTTAAAAATGGATAAAAAAGATGAAACTAGTAAAAAAATAAAAACTATTTTTTACCAGTAAAAAATAAAAACTATTTTTTACCAGTAAAAAATAAAAACTAATTTTTACCAGTAAAAAATAAAAACTGTTTTTTACCAGTAAAAAATAAAAACTATTTTTTACCAGTAAAAAATAAAAACTAATTTTTACTAGTAAAATATAAAAACTATTTTTTACTAGTAAAAAATAAAAACTAATTTTTATTAGTAAAATATAAAAACTATTTTTTACTAGTAAAATATAAAAACTATTTTTTACTAGTAAAAAATAAAAACTTTTCTATTAGTAAAAAAATATAAACTATTTTTTACTAGTTGTGCTATTTTTTACTAGTTTCATCTTTTTACCTATTTTTTAAGAGATAAGCTTGTCAATTAATAAAATCTCAAAAAATCATAATTTTATGGGTTGGATCCTTATTGCATAACTATGGCCAATTATCAGTGTAACGAAAACGAAGAAAAATCTCTCTTTTTATTCACATATACGTATGAGGAGGGACATATACAAATGTGGTGTATGAATCGATGAATCGTTTCCATTGAACTTTGCGCGAGATTCGCAACACAAACATGTAATTTTTACCAAGCGCGAGGACAGTCAGAATTTCCCGCAGCCGCGGGATTCCCGTTGCGAATTTCGGCTCACTCAAGACACGCGACCGGAGTTTATTCGCGATCGATATGTTTCTCAGCATTGGCGCTTCAGTCCCGGCTCGTTTACTTCTTTCCTGTCTGACAACCATAAATCGATCGGACGCGGTATTTCAAGGTAGCATATAGTTATCCGTGCGTGGCGCAG